CCACCAATTGCTTCTTGTTCTACCTTCAGGTGCCTTGGTGAATAGCTTGGCTCCCTCTTCTTTGTGGCAGCCCCTGAGATATTGGAACACTGCTATCAGTGTTAAATATTATTTCTTACTAAATATTACTACTTATAGTTATTACATTTCATTTTCATTGTTTCATATTGTTTACACATATTTTGCTATCGTCCTTCAGTTCTAAACCTCCATTGTGTTCTTTCATATATATGTATATGTATATGTATATGTATATGTATATGTATGTTTTGGCGAGGTCTCACTCGCCATCCTCAGGCTGGCTTAAAGCTGCGGCCACACTTTAAGCCAAAAGCACCAGCCGGAGGATGGCGAGTGAGACCTCACCGAAATGTTGCCAAGACAATCTCAATCTTACACGGGAAAAGACCCTAGTACAACAAGACCAGCATACCTACACCCGTGAAAATCTACGAATATGAATATATATATATATATGTAAGTGTGTAAGTGTGCATGTGTGTATGTATGCCCTCCTGAGCTCCATTTTTGCTGGCAGAGGCACCACGGGCTGCTCCTTCGCTGTTTCCAGGGCGGCCCCACAGGCCAGATCTAAGCACCCTGCAGGCCGGATCCGGCCCACGGGCCTTGAGTTTGACACCCCCTATTATAAGACCTCTCGGGGCCAGAAACGAGGGGGCCTTCAGGATGGAAGAAGAGTGAAAGATAGTCTGGTGATATATGCTGACTCTGTAAACCGCTTAGAGAGGGCTGTGAAGCACTGTGAAGCGGTATATAAGTCTTAAGTGCTAAGTGCTATTCTCCAGTTTATTCTCAGACCTGACTGCCTTTTTTTAAATCTTCAGAAATATGGTCGTTGCTCTGAAGGAGCTGTCCATTCGGGGCGACTTCAGGACCACTGTGGAGTACTTGATTAAGCTGCTTGAAACGGAAAGCTTTCAGCACAACAGCATTGACACTGGTTGGCTGGACCGACTGATTGCTGAGAAAGTGCAGGTAAATCGTCTTCTGGCACAGAAAGGGACGGAATATATCCCAAAAGAAAAACTGCAGCATTTTAGTGCGGATTATCTGTCCGTTGGCGTGTGCTAAATAGATCTCATTCTATCGATAGAAGAGAATATTCTTAGCTCAGGGTTTGAACTGTGGGGTCCTTGGTTATCTCTGAGCTTGGTGGTTTTCTTGCCGACGTTTCATGACCCAACTAGGTAACATCATCAATGTCAGCGTTCCAAGTATCATGTAGAATTAAATCAGAGTCCAAGGCAAAATGATCCTGAAAGTTCCAATTTAATAAACCAGACATCTTAGCATCGTGCTGTGGAATCCCAATTCTAAAGAACTTACTGGGATTCCCACCCAGTTAAAAGTTCATGATCTTGTCCCCACGCCCACAAATCCATCACATGGTCCAATTTTCTTCGTCCACACTGGC